ATTTTTTCCTCCTTCAACCATGCTTTATTGTATTCACAAATATATGCTGTTATATTTTCAGTTTGTCATGTTGATTGCAGTTATTGTAGTCCTTTTCTAATCTATGGCCAAAAAAATATAAGTTTATGGCTTGCAGTCAAAAATCTGCAGTTTGTTGTATAGGGATAAAAGATATAGGGAAGAAGTAGTAAAAGCTCTTGATTAATTGTATTTCTTGCATTTGTTTATTATATAATTTGGAAAATAGCGTTATTTGCTCTGTAATAACAGTAATTAACAATGACACTATCATGGAATCCTTTTGTTTTTTATAATGTCCTCATTTCCACAAACATAGTATTGGTATTTGCTTTTCAATAACAAAAAGCATAATAGTAAATTAAACTGTTGTTAAATAATTGCTAAAAAAACATCTTACCTTTTATGGCAAAACTACATATTATAGCTTAAACTGTTTTACGTCAATGCCACTTCATAGATTTCGCTTAATATTAAGAAAGTTTATAACACTAAATCTAATTAACTAAGAGGAGCTTAATTAAATAATATGAAAACTAATTAGAAATAAAGCATAATTGTTGTCATATACGAGTACATGGTACATATTAACAGAAAATTTTTGTACATGTAAATATCTGTTAACTTACCTAAAAACAAATATAAACATTTGTGCTATTTCTTCATTTTTGCATTTTTTTGATTCATATATATGTCTATAGAGAAAATAATAAACATAAGTCTATTATAGTAGATCTGATGAACACAGCATAAGATCATAAAATAAAATCATATCAATATAATATTGAAAACAAAATTTCTTAAGATTTTAAATAAACTTTAACTGATTAATTCTTCAATTTTCTAATTAATTAAATGAAGGCAACTGTTCTTTTCCAAAAAGAAGGCTCCCAGAATCTTAACATAATTTGTTTTTTTATATTGATGGCTTGCTTCAATTAATCTCTCAATTGTTTACATCTAAATAGTCTGCTTGAATTCCTAAAGCAACATCATAAAGATAAACTAATTCATATTTTTCTAAGTTAAGAATTTTACGGCATATACATAATTTAAATTTTCCATATTCTAGTTCACTTCTTTTAAATGCTTCTTGATTGGTATGCATTTAAATTTACTTTAGAATAATTTTAAAGTTAATTCTACTTGATGCATATATTTAAAGTTGTGAGACTAGAAAATCATGATACATTCTTTGGCGAAATTAGAAATTTGATTTGGTTGATGCTGAATCATATGATTTCTGTTAAAAAATTCGTATTGTTCATTTTGGAAAGATGAATTTAAAATCTATATTACTTGAGGTTTAAATAAATCTCATTCATCCTCTTTTATTACTGTTCTAAAATTTAAATTTTAAAAAAATTCAGTTGCTTTCTTGAAATGTTTGACAATTTAATGTTAAAATAATTTTTTTAATTTTTTTTGTTATTCTCCTTCTTTTCATTATGTATTTGGTGAAACGCAAACCTATTTTATGTAATAAAATGTAATTTTCTAATTTAAATTAGGTTATAAAAGCAATTAATAGAGTACATGTAATTTGCCCTTGTTTAGACCATTAATAAGAGCTTTAAGAATCAGAAATGAAAGCTATGGCTGGATTAAAAAAAGAACTTGCTTCAGTAAATATAAATATTTGCTTAATCCAGCAACAACCCTGAAACGAAAAATATAAGACAAACAATATCAAAAACAAAACTTGACGTCTCTCTAATCATTTCTTCTCGTTACTAATCTTAATGCGACAGGCTGTTTGATGTGCCGATTTAGACCCTATTTATGAAAATAGGATGAATGGTAATCATCATATCTGTAAGTTTTCCCTCCAAGTATTTTTCCCCTTGGGTTGGGTTTTGGGGTTGGGTTTGGGGTTGGG